CAGAAATTGGCCTCGAGACGCCGAACACTAACAAGCATCTGCCGCAGGATGTAAGTCGATTCGACAGAGCAACCATGGGTCAACATCGGCCCCTGGACTTCTCCAGAAACTTGACCAGAAGCTCGAGGGGAAGCCAACCGTGACGATGAGACGCATCCCAGATGCCCGAAAGAGCAAATAACGTACCGTACACAAAACAGACATCGGGCGATGTGTTGTTTTTCAAGCGCGACGCCAGAATTCACGACCCCCTCTCCAAGGGCGCTTTTGTCGCCCAGGATCGACAACGGAACCTAGAAGCTAAAATCGAAAAGAACGCCGCCGGTTGAAACAATCAAGATGTGAAGGTTCGATTCTCCAACCTCTCCTCCATCCTCCTCCTCCCCCTCCTCAGGAAAAAGGGCGACCCGCTGTCGCCGCTCTCCTCCGGCTTCCTCTTCCTGCCGAACAGGTCGGCCATCGACCCTGGCATGACCTGGGTCGACGGGCTGAACGGGGGGGAGGAGGAGTGGGGGAGGGGGGGTCGGAGGAAGGGGCAGAGGCAGGAGAGGAGGCCGGGGAGGAGGGGGCGAGGGAAGAGGAGGGGGGAGGAGGGAAAGGGGGGGAAGGAGGAGGGGGGAGCTCCTGGGACAAGGGAGGGCAGAAGAGGAGGTGGGGCAGTCGAGGCGGAGGAGAGGACGGTCCTCTCACGCTGGCCTCCTGGGAGGGCCGGGCATCACTTGCACATCGGGAACCTGAGCGACTACTGATCCACACGATCCGAGGGCATTCCGAAGGAGGAATTTCCTCCGACCTCCCTGGCACCCGGGAAAAAGTGGCGGGGGCCTACCTGGGATTAGGTCGGGCATGTCCTCCGACAGACGGATTTTTGGACGAAGAACAAAAGCAGTCAAACAAAAACACTGCACCATGATCCAGAAGTGATGGACAAGATCGTCCCCAGACTATGTTGTTACTATTCTTGCATACCCCTCCTGTAAGGGAAAGGCCCGACTTAAACCTGGGACACAGCCGAAGGGGCCCAGGAGGCCAGGAGAGGGCGGCAGAGGGCTGCCTCGCGTCGCACTCCTCCTTGTCTTTCGCGGGCCGCAGCTCTGCGGCCGAGGATCGCCGACCTGTGGGTGCAGACCTGGGTGGAACCTGGCCGGGTTCTCGCGGCCTTGTTGTTGCTCCTCCTCCTCCTCCTCCTCCTCCTCCTCCTCCTCCTCCTCCTTCTCTTCCTCCTCCTCCTCCTCCACCTCCTCCTCCTACCTCCTCCTCCTCCTTCTCCTCCTCATCCTCCCCCTCATCCTAGTCCTCCTCCTCCTCCTCGTCCTCCCCCTTCCCTTCCCCTCCTCCTCCTCCGTCCTCCTCCTTCCTCCTCCTCCTCCTCCTCCTCCTCCTCCTCCTTCTCCTCCTCCTCCTCCTTCTTCTCCTCCTACTCCGCCTCCTTCCTCCTCCTCCTCCCTCCTCCTCCTCCTCCTCGCTCCTTCCTCCTCCTCCTCCTCCTCCCCCCTCCTCCTCTTCTTCTCTCCTCCTCCCCCTCCTCCTCCTCCACCACCTCGCCTCCTCCTCCTCCTCCCCTCCTCCTCCTCCTCCTCCTCCTCCCCCTCCTCCTCCTCCTCCTCCTCCTCCTCCTCCTCCTCCTCCTCCTCCTCCCCCTCCTCCTCCTCCTTTTCCTCCTCCTCCTCCTTCTCCTCCTCCCCCTCCTCCTCCTCCCCCTCCTCCGCCTCCTCCTCCTTCTCCGCCCCCTCCTCCTCTTCCTCCTCCTCCTCCACCACCTCCTCCACCTCTGGCAAGTCTCGCAACGGCAGGCCCCGACGAGATGACACGGGGGGGGATCGGCCGAGGCAGTATACAGCCGCAGCAAAACAGCAGAAACGCATGCTGTGGCGAGGCCACGGCTGCCACAAAAAAGAGGGGGAGGAAGGGTGAGGAGCAGACGCAACTTCTGGCGCCGAGGAAAGAGCAGAGGCGAAGAGGAGAGAAGGGGAGCAGCCGCAGGGGAAGAGAGAGGGACCTTGACCGACGGGTTGACTGCCTGCTCCAGGTTCGAGATCTGCTTCTCCATCGAGGACAGCGCGGACCTGGCCAGGGCGGGCCGACTGTTGTCTCCGAGGGAGGAGCCCAGACGCCTGGCGGCTCGACGACCTCGCGTCAGGGGTGGGGATCAAACACATACCCATACCGCTACTCCACGCACCTCTCCGGGGGTGTGTTCTGATCAGGCTTTCGAGGCGAATCCGTGGTGACTAGAGAAGGGTAGCGGACGACTCGAGGTACACAGTCGGACTTGATTGGACAGGACACGCGAGAGGACACAAGACCCGTCAGAGGGCCAGATTGCCACAGGCATGTAGGAGCCATGAGTCGAGACTCAGGACACAACGGTACCCTTGACTCGGCAGAGTCGACCTACTCATCAAGGCCGACTGTGCGAATCTTCCTCCTCTGGAGACAGGGATCTTCTGACCCGGGTCAATCCAGACCCGGGTCAGGCAGGCCTTGCAGAATCCTGCAAGATCCTGCAAGATCCTGCACCCAAGCCCAGGCCAACGCGAAGAGGATCCTGCAAGATCCTGCAGGAGCCTGCACCCAAGCCCGGGCCAATGCGACCCTGGCCCTGCAGGATCCTGCAAGATCGGGCGCTCTGGCTGACCCCCGTTTGCATCAGGACGGGCATGTCCTCCTACAGGCGGATGTTGGACGAACAACGATGTTCAAAACAGAAACAAAAAACACCAAACAAATCGTCCCCATACTATTTTTTGACTATTTGGGAATATGCTTCCTGTAGAGGGACAGGCCCGACTTAACTAACTTTTGCATTGGCCCCCGTCTCTGAAGCTCCGATGGAGAAGGCTCTCGCCGCTTCCGGCGTCCAAGGGCGGGCACATCGGCGATACATCGGCGATGCGGCGCGATCCTCCGACCCCATCTGCTCCGACCCCATCTGGGAAGCCTAGAGTTGAAGGTTTGCGAATGGGCACCAACACCAGCACAGAGGGTTTGCCTCCACAGGGGGAATCTGATCCTAGATTTCGGTGTTGATGGTAATCTTTCGGCCACCGAGGAATCCCAAAGATTACCACCATCACCGAGATCGGGATCATCTTCCCTCGGCGGAGGCACACCGCCGATACTGGTGCTGGTGTCAATCTCCAAGCCTCCGATAGGTGCCTACGAATCAGGGCCGGCTGTACGAATCTCCCTCCTCTGAAGAAGGCTCTCGCCACTTCCGCCGTCCCAGGGGCCCGTGCTGGGCCCCACCACGGCCGTCACAGGACGGCTCGCGGGGCGGAGCCGCGGGCCCCAAAGAGCACTGGGGCGTCCGCAGCTCCGTGGGCCTCCTTCCGAGGCTTTCGGAGGAGAAGATCATCAAAACATCGCCCCCAGACTATGCTTTGACTACTTTCCTCCTGTGGAGGGACAGGCCCGACTCGGCGCTGGCCGCAGAGGGGAGAGCAGGCCGTGCCTCAGAACGCACACGAAGTTCTCCGCGTTGCTGGCGTACGTGTCCAGCACGCTCACCGACGACTTCGCGACCTCCAGGGCGTCCAGCGCCGGCGCGGAACCCCTGGCGAGGACGTGGTTGCTCGGCGGGCCCGAGGCCGCGCCAGAGGCTGGGAGCCGCGTCTTGCCGCTTAATCGTGCTGGAGCTAGTGCCGGGGGGAGCAGGACTGCGACGAGGAAGACAAGGAAGAGGACGAGGACGATAGTGAATGAAGGACGAGGACGAGGACAAGGACAAGGACAAGGACGAGGACGAGGACGAGGATGAGGACAAGGACAATGACGAGGACGAGGACAAGGATGAGGATGAAAGCGGCGATGCTCACAACACACAACTGGGGTCAGCAGGAAGGGTGCTGCGCGGGGGGAGGGGCCCTCCGCCAGCAAGCGCAGGCGAGCCGAGGACGCCGACGAGGAAAGGGACGACCGTGATGGGCCTGTTTTCCACCACCACCGCCATAAGTTGGAGGGGGAGGGGTTCCTCCTCCTCCTCCTCCTCCTCCTCCTCCTTCTCCTCCTCGTCCTCTTCGTGGTCCTCCTCCTCGTCCTCCACCTCCTCCCCCCCTCCAACTTATGGTGGTGGTGGTGGTGGAAAAGAGACCAGTCAGACCGTGCGGACGAGCACGAGGAGCAGGACGGCAAACGGCTTCTTCCTCGGCTTTTCGACATTGGGCGGAGGGGGGGGGGGAGGGGGAGGGTCTGGCTCCGCACCCCAGCGCACATACCACAAGATGTCTCGGTGCGCGCGTCGCCCCTCGGGTAGCGACGCACACCTGGTATCAGTATGTTGGGCTGGGGCGCCGATGATCTCTTGTTCTGATGTGCAAGCTGTATCGGGAGCGGCCAAGAGGGGGGTGTCCAAGAGGGGGGGTGCAAATCATGACCAGCGGCATGTGCGCGGCCCAGCGGGGGGGCTAGAGAGGTAATGAAACAAGAAGGGGCGCCATGAAATCTGGGGAAAAAAACATGGCCCCCGCCATGATATCCACCCTCCCCTAGTCACCACCCCCCTCTTTGCCGCCCCCGACTGTAATGAAGTCGGGGGGCATCTGGCGAACGTTTTCTTATTCGGCGTTTCGACACTGGCCGGAAGGGGGGGAGGGGGGGCTCTGGCTCCTCACATCTGCTTACACGCGGCTCCTTGCCGCAGTGCGTCCTGGGGGCTCCGCCTGCTTGCGACAGGCCTCAAAAAAAAAGAAGCCGAGATCTGCTCCAGGGGGTTGGAGAAAGGGGTGCGTGGGCCCGCGCCGATCGGCAAAACAGTGAATAAGAAAACGATCACATGAGTGTGCGGTCGAAGATGCGGACGGGTATCGGGACGAGCACGAGAACATGAGGGGTGGGACGGGGAGGAGCCACGCAAAGCCTCAACGGCCACCCAGAACCCCCCAGGATCCCTCCGGGGCTTCTTCAGCAGACCTCTCGCAGTCCCCAGGGACACCGCAAACCCTCTGTGTCCCCCCTTCTCAAAAATCACCCTCCTGTTCATCCAAACCAGATGCCGCTAAAAACTGGTCCACGGAACCCTCTCAAGCACCATCATGGCCGGATTTCTCCTAGCGGTCATTTCGGGCCCTCTTGGGCCTCATGAGGCCCCCTCAGGCCGTGTTCGGGCTCTCTCGGGCCGTCCAGTGGCTCTCTTGGGCCGTTTTTGGGCCCTCCTGGCTGCATGGTGGGTGCCAGGGGGCAGTCTTGGCGCCGCCTTGGGCAGCCGAAGGGCCTTCTGAGGCAGCATTGGACCGTTTTGGGGGTCGTCTTGGATGCCTCTCGGGCCCGCGTGGAGTCCTCTTGGGCCACATTTAGGGGAACAAAAAGTGGCATAAACATAAAAACTCGGAGGTCCGCGCGGATTTCTCGGATCGGCGCTGGGGCCCACCGGCGCCGCCTCCGGCGCCGCCCCTGGCGCGCTCCGCGCGCCAGGGAGGGAGGTCCAGCGCCGATCCGAGAAATCCGCGCGGACCTCCGAGTCTTTATGTTTATGCCATTTTTTGTTCCCCTAACATTTGGACCCTCGTGAGGGCCTCTTGGGCCGTCTTAGAGCCATCGTGGAGACTTCTTGGGCCACCTTGAGCCGACGGAGACCCGACAAGGAGAGAATTTGCAAATGATTCCAAAAAACCACAACGAGTCAACCATGTTTGGCTTCTCGGGCCCTGTTGGAGGTCCTCTTGTAGCCCGTTTGGGCCATCTGGGAGGCATCTTGGGCTGCATTGAGTCTTGTGGCTATCTTCGCCCGTCTTCGAGGCATATTTGGCTATATTGGTTGCCTTGGTTGCATCGTGGCCTCGGGAGCGCGGACCCATCGTTCTTGCTGCTACGAGGGATCGTGGCCTTAGGAGCAGGAGAGTGCATGCGCTTGTCTGCGGGTAGAGGGGGTCCCGTATGAGAACAGAAAAACCTTGCAGAGCAGCTCTTGGCATTCCAACAAGCCCACATCGTGCAGGCACGGTGGCGGATTGCTTGCTTGTGTGTTGTCGGTGGCGGATTGCTTGCTTGTGTGCTGAGTGCTGAGTAGAAGGACGAGGGGGGCGGAGAGGAAGGAGGGAGTTCCAAGAGGAGAACGACGTCGACGACCGGGAGATGGAGGAGAAGAGAAGATTTCTAGAGAGACTCCTCCAATAGTTTGAATGTGTTCGCCTTCGCGGTTGGGCACGGCTCGGAAAAAGAAGGTCCAGATGCCCCGAAAGGTCCACGGAGTGTTTGTGTGTGTTGAATGTGTGTTTATGTTTATGTTTGTGTTTGTGTTTGTGTGTATGTTTGTGTTTGTGCCTGTGTTTGTGTTTATGTTTGCGGCTGTGTCTGTGCTTGAGTTTTTGTATATGTGTGTGCGTGCGTGCGTGCGTGCGTGTGTGTGTGAGTGCGTGTATGTACTTTGGCTCATGGCTTATGGAACCCTCCACCTCACCGTAGTCTCGCCTGATCACTGCGATTCCCCGCTATCCATGCCCAGACAGTGATGGCTGCCGGCGGCTGCGAGGCTCTAAGTGGTGTCTAAGTGCTCGGGCGGGCATAGACGTGCGCGCTTCGCTGTTTTCCGACCTTCTACTCCCTGTCGCCATGCACAGGGCCGCGACGTCAAACAAGTGTGGGTGTGTGCCCGTGTGTGTATCGATGTGTGTGCCACCTTGCCCTTATCTTGCTGGACCCTCGTCGTCCTAAGTCTGGCTGGCTTTGGCCGCTGCTGTATCGTGCGAGTCCTGTTCCTTCTTTGCTCAGCCGGCGCGCGCCCGACGCAGGCCAAGAGACATAGCCGAGCCCGCGAACGCTCAAAGGTGTGTATGTGCGTGATGTGTGTGATGTGTGTGTTGTGTGTTGTGTGTGTGTTTGTGTTGTGTTGTGTGTGTTGTGTGTCCGTGCTTTTGTTGTGCGGCTGTTTGGTGGGGGACCCTAAGCTGAGGGTGCCGGGTGGAATAGGGAGAGCAGGCCGACGACATGTCTTCCGACCCGTAGCGGGCTCAGCGACCCGCACACGTCGATCCAGTTTTAGGTCGGGCCTATCCCCCTACAGGGGGAGTTTGGGCTAAGAATTGAAAATGCGAAAAAAATCCGAACATGTTCGGAAATATACTCAAAAAAACGTGCCCATACTATTTGTTGACTATCTTTGAATACTCCTCCTGTAGAGGGACACGCCCGACTTAGATCTACTTGGACAAATACGTCAGAAGAGGTGGGTTGACAGCTTCCGTTTTGGAGTTCTAACTAGGCTGCACGACTCGCCCCTCCGGGGTGACGCAAGCTCTGCCGCTCCTGCGCCCAGGGCGCTGCCAAGCTGAAGGGGCCAATGGACACACAAATAGATAGACACAAACAACAGGATTCCCCATATTTTCACACATGTTCTCGGTTTGTGCCTTCCCCCCACTGCCCATATTTTCCGATCTTTTCCTGGGAATCGAAGATGAATCGTGTGTCTGTGTGTTTTCCCCTCCTGACGAGCGCGCAGGCGTCGCCAGTGTTCTACACCCTGGGGGGTCGAGCGTCGTGCGGCTCTGCGCTGACACACGCTGCTGTGTCCCCGGGGCGTCCAACAGAGTGCGCTTCTTCGCAGACCCAAGGTCGATCTCGCCGGCCTCTCCTCCCCAGAGGCGAGCAATCGGTCCGACACGGAACGGATTGGTGCGATACAACAATGCAGGCGAGGTTGGCCTCTGAATAAATTGTTTTTTCCTCGCAAGCACCTTTATTCACTAGCGCGCCTGAAATTCATCTTGAAAATTGTATGCCCGAGGCGCACCAACAAACCTTGAAACATTGTATGCTCAAGGTAATCAAGCCGCTAAAGGTTGGCCTCTGAAGACGTCTGTGAGTTACTCAAGAAGAACCTGCGTGTGCGGCGACGGCTCGCATCGGAAGCGGACTGTCGCAGAAACCAGAATCCATACCACACATTCCCCAATCAGTGCTTGCACTGAAGGGGTCCTGGCGGAAATTTGAAGATTTGGCGAATCATTTCCCGCCGATTTTGGTAGCCAGCTGGGTTCCCGGGTTCCCGGTTCCGGGTTCCTGGTCATTGGTTCCGGTCCGTTTTCGGTGGGTTCCGGGTTCCCGGGTTCCCAGGTTCCCAGTCGATCTCCTTATCGATCTCTTTATCGATCCCTTTTCAAACGATCCACTGATTGGGGTTCTTCTCTGGTATAATTTAAGCAGCCACACCGTTTGCCGACTGCGCCCGTCCCAGATCCTGACCCCGGAGGTCCCTCGAGGGGATCCATCGGTCTCCGGAAGTCCCCACCCCGGAGCCAGAGGCCCTCAGAGAGGCCCGCCAGGCCGAACACCTCCCCACTCCCTCGTCGAGATTCGGGGGCAAAATCTGGAACTTCTAGCTCATCCTCCTCCTCCTCCTCCTTCTCCTCCTCCTCCTCCTCCTCCTCCTCCTCCTCTTCCTCCTCCTCCTCTTCCTCCTCCTCCTCCTCCCCTTCCTCCTCCTCCTCCTCCTCCTCGGGGTACCCCCTCGGGGAGGGCCTCTTCCAGTCATCTCTCATCGCCTCGCAGCTGCGCCCTGCGGTGGCATCCGGGATGTGCTAGGACGGGCGAGGCCCCAGCGGAGGTGAGCGGGATCTCTCGCGCTGTCCATCCCCACTCTGCGGCACAGGTTCCGCCTGGCACGGGTGGCCACCAGGGCTGCCCTGGATGGATCCCCCTGTCCCCCTCGTCCTGGGTCGGGACCCCAGCTGTAGCGCCCTCCTGTTCTGGGATATCCCGCTCCAAGGTATTTGAGGGCTGGTATTGCTGGGCCCTCCTGTGGTCGAGGTGGGGCGGGGAGGGTGCCCCAGGGGAGGTACCCCTGGGAGTCTCTCGGACCAAGTGGCGCCGTGGCGTTGCGGTACTAGACCCCCGCGACAGGTGGTGAGCTGCCCCCCAGCCATCCCTGAGTGGGAGGTGCCGCTAAAGAGGCAGTGCCCGCGGCCTCACCAGATTGCTTACCCAAGCCACCACCACCACCACCCCTCCTCCTCCTCCTCCTCCTCCTCCTCCTCCTCCTCCTCCTCTTCTGAGTCGACAGAGGTTCTATCTCCCACGCCCACTCCAATGTGGGAGCATTTGGCCTGCAGCCTGCGCTCAAACGCTGCTGCATGCCCCCCAGCCGAGGTGCTCGTTCAAGACGTTTCAGCGGGTCTTGAGTCCTGAGTCCTCCATTCCTCGTCCCTACAGTGGAGGCCGGTCCACAAGAAACCTGCCACAAGACATCCAACCCTGAGACCCCAGGACATCCATTGATTTGGTGTAGGAACGTCACGCTCCCCATCGCAAAACCATCAAGACCCCAGAAATCCAGGGCACCTCTTCTTGACATGGTCCCCCACTGTAACTCCTCCCGGTTGCACCTCGTGGCCGATTAGAAAGCCAGGCTGGGCATTTCGCCTGAGACTTCCTGACCACTCACGATCCTCAAGCTTAAATGTGCAACAATTTCCGGGATTGAGGGCGGATGGATTTCAACATGTGGCTCTTGCCTTAGCGCCGCCCACACTCGTCCTAAACATTCGCAAGAGTTTCACGAATTGGAGACGGCTCCTTTTCAAAACGTGGCTCTCGCCGTAACGTCGCGCACAATCGTTTCAAAAATGAAAGAGCTTCACGGATTGAGGACGGCTCCTTTTCAAAAAGTGGCTCTCGCCGTAGCGCCGCGCACATTCGACTTATAAGCTTGCAGAGGTTTCGCGGATTCCCATGGTTAGCGCACCAGAAATGGAGTTCTGGAACGGTTCAAGATTTTCTGGGCACAAGAATTACGTTGATTCGCGGCGCTGGAGTCCCATGAATGGCGTTCTGCCACGGTCCGGGATCGTCAAAACACAACAATCAAATTTACCCGTGGCATTGCAGTTTCGAGAGTGGTGTTTTTGGCGCGCTGCAGGATCTTCCTACGATTGTCTCTAATTGGTGCACTTCCCTGAGTGGAAATGAACCCTTGTCTGTGGCCCATGGAGAGGGAGCTTGGAGGGGGGACTTCTTCCAACATCGTTGATGAGTTTTGGGTTTGCACTGGTCATCCTCCTCTTCTTCCTCCTCTCTCCGCAGCCGCTGAGCGCGTCACCCAAACGCCCCCGCGCCCGCCACGCACGCCGGGGCGCGACGGATACACGGAGACGGTCCCGTTCTGGATGAAGAGGAGGAGGAGGAGGAGGAGGAGGAGGAGGAGGAGGCGAAAGAGGAGGGAGGGGGGAGGGGAAGGGAGGGGAGGGGAGGCGAGAGAGAGGGGAGGAGAGGAGAGGGGAGGAAGGGAGAAAGGGAGGGAGGAGGCGAAGAAGGGAGGAGGGAGTGGGGAGGAAGGGAGGGAGCGAGGGGAGGGAGGGGGAGGGAAGGAGGGTGGAAGAAGGGAGGAGGAGGAGGAGAGGGAGGGAGGGAGGAAGGGAGGGAAGGGAGGGAAGGGAGGAAGGGAGGGAAGGGAGGGGATGGAGGGAGGGAGGAGGAGGGAGGAGGAGAAGAGGAGGAGAAAGGAGGAGGAGGAGGGGAGAGGAGGAGGAGGAGGAGGGGGAGGAGGAGGAGGAGGAGGAGGAGGAGGAGGAGGAGGAAGGGAGAGAAAGGCCGCCGGCACGCTCCTCCTCGCCCTCCTCGGTGCCCCGCCCGCTCGCCTCCGCCGCCCTCGTCCTGCGGCCGCTCCGCGCCCGCGCGGGCGGGCGGCTCCGAGATCTCCGGGGGTTCCTGACTCGCGCGCCGCCGGCCCGAGGGTGCCAAATATTGGAGCAGGGACCGACCGTCCCGTGCAGTACTGTAGGCCTACCACGGCGTGTTCTTAGAGCCCAAACATGCTCCCAGAACAAAAGCAATGTTCTTAGAACAGAGACCCGACGTGTCAAAACAAGACAGCCCCAGCCAGAACTGTTCTAATAATACTTCGTGAAAGCCAGCGAAGGCTGTTGGAACATGGTTTGATAGGCCTATCGGCAGGCCAGGACACTCCGCCACTGCTTGAAATATGGAGGGGCGACAGGTTCGAGGTTCGACCCTGAGATCCGGCGTGGCGAAAAAAGTTGCAACGTCGCAGAAATTCGCGCCCGGAGCCTTCGAGACCCCACCTTCCTGCGTCAGTTCACCGGGCCGGATCGACCTGCGAGGGCCCCAGGGGGCCCGAAGAGAAGACGAAAACGCCCCGCTCGGAAAGCTGACGTCGCCAGGATCTCGAGGAGGTTCGAGGCTCGAAGTCCGACACTAGGGGGCCACATGCGAACCCTACCCCTACCCCCCACGATTTCTGAGGGGGGGAGAAAGGTTCACTTCGTTCGGGAGCTCCCGAGCAAAGTGAACCCCACCCCCACCCCTCAGAAATCGTGGGGGGCAGGGGTAGGGTTCGCATGTGGCCCCCTAGACATTTTCGTCGCTTCGCGCCAGTTTTTCGGCCTCGGGAGGCCTTCCGGCGGCCGCGCGCCTCGCCGAGGGCGTCTTCCCCAGGGCTGCCGGTGCCCGAGCCGTCCCGATAGGCAGGCCGCGGGAGCGCCGAGCGTATGCCCGAGAATCCAAGGGCAACGTCGGGGGGGGCGGGCTCGGGTGGAATTGGGGAATTGGGGGAGTTTCGGGTGGAATTGGTGCACCCCATATAGCCAGGGAGGGAGTCCGACCCGAACATATCATATACCCATCTTAAAGTAGATCGTCTTCCGAGCGGTGTGGCCAGAAAGCGCCCGCCACCGCGCCCGCCACCGAGGGGGGGACGAGGAGGCGAGGGGGGGCAGAGGGGAGAGGACGACGAAGGGGGGGGGGCGAGGAGGCAGGGAGGGGAGGGGGGATCTAGGGAGGAGGGGAGGGGCGGAGGAGGAAGGAAGGGAGGGGGCGAGGGCTCAGGAGAGAGGACGGGGGGAGGTGGTGAGGGGGAGGGGATCGTCGGGCTGGAATCGGCGGTACATCGCCGAAAGATCGGCGAGAAGCCCCCGATAGCGAAGATCCCGAGCGTTCCCGGGGCGGGTGGGGCCAACTCGCGCCCCCTGTCGGCGGTGCGTGAGCGATCGGGGGCCGACGCCCATCCACCCCCCCCCCCCCGAGAGCCCTGCCCCTACTGCTGTTGCCTCTGCTGCCCCCCTCGCGGAGAATGCGCGCAGGTGCTTCCGTCGGCGCCCCCTCGGAGCCATCGCTGGCGGCGTCGGCGGCGTCGTCTTCGTCGGCGTCGGCGGCGTCGCCGCTCCCCAACCCCCACATCCTTCGCCTCTCGCCCACCCCGCCCGCCCCCTCCCGCCTACGGCCCACCCTCTCCGCCCTCGCCCTGCAAGAACTGCTGCCCCCACTCCCATACGCTCTCAGCCTGCCCTGCTTGCATGAGCCCTGCGCTCCCCCGTCCTCCCTCCCACCCCCACGCCTATCTCCCTTCCCCTCCCTCTCCATCGCCCCCTCCCCCCGACACACACACACACACACACACACAAACACAAACACACACACACACACACACACATATACAAACACTCCGGATTTCACCTTCGCGTCCCCCGTCCCGCCCGAGCAGAGTCCCAGACGAGCGGGCTCGGATGGACGGCCTTGGGAAACACCCAGCCCTTCAGCACGGTGCGCATCGTCGGAAGGTCCTGCGGCCCGTCTCCGGAAAAATCTGCTCCTCCTCTTCCTCCTCCTCCTCCTCCTCCTCCTCCTCCTCCTCCTCCTCCTCCTCCTCCTCCTCCTCCTCCTCCTAGTCCTCCTCCTCCACTGACGTTCACAACTTTCCCCACCACCTCCACCACCACCGCCGCCTCTTGCCCCTTCTCCTCCTCCTCCTCCTCCTCCGTCTTCCGTCCCTCCGTCCTTCGTCCCTCCGTCCTCCTCTCTTCGTCCACCTCCTCGCCCACCCCCTCCTCCAGCTCGGGCGGGTGGCCATGGGGGGGGTGTGACCTGACTGGGGGGGTGCGGGGGTGAAGCCGACGGCCCCGAAGGGGCCCTCTTGGGGAGCCAGCAGGCGCCCCCAAGAGGGGCCCCAAAGGGCTCCAGTCAGGGCTTTTCTCCTTTTCCTTCACCCCTCGCTCATCACCGCACGCCCGACCGGCATCAGGTCGGGCAGGTCCCCCCACAGGCGGATATTGTGAAGGACATTATTTCTGCTTGCTTTGGGGCAAAAACTCAAACCAAAAAGGAAAGACAAATCGTCCCCATAGTATGTTTTTTTACTATTTTGGAACACTCCTCCTGCAGAGGGAGACGTACCCGACTTCAGACCAGCACCTCTTCCAGCAGCACCTCGCCCAGCAGAGTGGGGCGGCGGGCCGAGAGCAGGCCCCGGAGGCGCACGCCGAGGAGGCGCGGGCCGAGCAGCGGGAGCAGGGATACCGCCCGCCCCCGGCATTCCTGTAGGCCCCCTCCCCCTCCTCCTCCCCCTCCCCTTCCCCCTCCTCCTCCTCCTCCCTCTCCTCCTCCTCCTCCTCCTCCTCCCCCTCCACCTCCTCCCCCTCCTCCTCCTCCTCCTCCTCCTCCTCCTCCTCCTCCTCCTCCTCCTCCTCCTGGTTTAGTGGGAGCGCCCCCCCCGCCCCGTTCCACTGACCGGAACTGCCGTCACCCGAGAAACACCAGCTGCGACAGACCTGGTGGAGTGATTCCTATCCATATTTTGGGCTTCGGGGCCAAACCACTAGCTGGCTCCCCTTGACCGGGGTCCTGGCTTTTCCCGAACCACGATTCGTTCCCAGAACCCCAACATGCTCTGATAACATCAACAGCGTTTTCAGCACATAAACTTAGGCCGGGCCTGTCCCCCTACAGGGGGATCTTGGGCGAACAATCTCCAAACAGACTCCCCAAATGCTCTCACATACTTCTAAAACATCGTCCCCAGACCATTGTTTTACTATTTTTGAATATTCCCCCTATGCAGGGACAGGCCCGACTTAAGCCTACCACATGTTCTTTGAACCCCAAAACATGTTTTAAGCACACAAACAATGCTCTCAGACCCGAAACCCGATGTGTCGAAACAAGACAGCCCCAGCAAACTATCGACAAACAAAAGAATACGCTTAGAAGATAAACCCGACGTGTCAAGACAAGGCAGGCCCAGCCGGAGAAGGGTTCTCAGAATCATTCGCGGGCACCACACAACAAAGCATGCTCAGAACCTCGTTTGGTAGGCCCATCGGCACGCCAGGACGCCTCGTCACCGCCTGCGCAGCAGGCGGCCTTCGCAGGGAGGCCCCGCCCGCCCGCTGCCGGGGAGGCGCGCGGTAAAGGGGGGCACAGACACCGGTCTTGCTCTTGGGGGGGGGGGGGGGGGGGGGCGGCGCCCCTCCCGGAAGCCCCCCCAGGGGCCTGTCTTCGGACGAGAGGCCTCCCAGATTGCGGTCGGGCCTGCTCCCCTACAGGAGGATCTTGGACGAACAATTATTGTTTAAAAAGGTTCTCAACATTTTCAAGAATAGTCCAAAAGCCGTCCCAGACTATGTTTTCACTAATGCTGGATGCTTCTCCTGTAGAGGGACGTGCCCGAGTTACGCCTAGGTGGGATCCGAGTAGATGAGGTCGGAGGATCGCGCCGCAGCGGCGACACAGTCGTGCCGCTGACCCAAGTAACGACAAATCAAGAACGAGGCCCCTTTTTTTCCGAAGAAGCCCATGAAGTCCGAAAGGGCACTGGGGGGGCTCGCCGCCCCAGAAAAGCGGAAAGCATGCAAACCTAAGGACCGCCCGAGCTCCTTTTGAACAGTAAGTGTTCCTTATTCTGTGGCCCGACTGTACATCGCCGATGCATCGGCAATGCATCGACGACGTCGGCGATGCATCGGTGCCGTCGGCGTGGAACAAATCGTACCAAAACGGGCTCCACATCGAGCCGCATCGGACATGCCGCGCGATCCTCCGACCCCATCTACTCGGACCCCATCTGGGAGGCCAAGACGGACGCCAAGGAGATGTCCGTGCAGATCAGTGGGTCATGCTGGTGGTGAGCGATGCGGGGAATGATCCATCACTGATCCATAACTACCGGTCGGGGGATCGATATTCAGGGACCTTTGAAGGCGGTGGATATGACCAGAGTTGCCCCCCTCGGGGCCCCAGTACATCGATCTATCTGTACATCTGAATACATACATAGATGTACACAAACAGATAGATGCACACTACATCCATAGATCGATGCAACTATGGATGCACATATCCACGGTCTGCCGAGGTATCCGAAGATCGATCCCCAGGCGGTAGATATCAAGAGCCCCTCGCCTCGGATGGTGCAGCTCATCAGTGGAGATGATTTGCACACCGTTGGTGGGCCAACACCGCCAGGGGCTTGCGACAGAACCGCCCGCCGAGGAGATGTGGAAGTGATAGGGGTGGTGCCGCGAGCAAGGGAAGGAGGAAGTTTCGTGGACCTCCCGGGAGTGAGGGGGAGCTGTCCATCTGCTGCGGCTCTGAACCAGGGCACAGAGGCTTGCCGAGGAACGCATTGTTCGACACGCTCGTCCGAAACACAGCCGCAAGCTGGGCACGAACGACCTTCAGACTCCAGCGTCGTGCAAAAGCACGACAAGCCTTTCGCAGCAGGTCTGGGCCATGGGGCCTGCACATAATATGAACTGCCCAGCGCGAAACACGATGCAAAAAGATGCGATCGAGACATCCAGTGGGGACTCTTCTCTGCGAGACGGGGATTTACCCATATCCACCGCCTGGGAACCGACGTCCTGGTGCCCCAGCGGGCGGTGGATATGGATATATCTTGGCCCCCGGGGGCCCGAATATGTCCATATCCACCGCCAGCCGAGGCTCCGAAAACTGACCCTCCAGGCGGTGGTCATGTCTAAATTCCCGCCTCGGATTCGCGACACTGGATCGCGGAGAGGAAGGCGTTGGCCTGCTCCACGCACAGGTTGTTTCCAAGCAAGGCCCTGCCAAGATATAGGGCCTGCCAGATTCGCCACCGCGGGCTGGCCGTGCACTCGGAGAGCGATGTGCTACCCGTGGGCACCGAAACTTCATGGCCAGGGCGCAGACTGGGTTCGGTTGCCAGCTGACGCGAATGCTGAGCTGCTTCGGAGGAGCTCACTGAGCAGTGCCGCAGCGACTGGCGAACGTATGTAGAATGCTGCACCGCATGATGCCTTCAAGGATTTCTTGCGACCACCCGCCCTGCCCATGATGATGCCGATGAGGGACACCACTGCGACAGCCGCCAATCCACGCCATCGTGGCAAGAGCAAATCAAAGACTCGTGGGAGGTGGAGGAGGGGAAGGAGGAGGAGGAGGAGGAGGAGGAGGAGGAGGAGGAGGGCGGTCCGAGAAAATGGGATAATAGGGTCGGAGCGTGAGGGAGGAAGGAGGCTCAGAGGGACAGAGACCGAGGGAGGTATGAATACGTGTATCTATATCACACGGACCTGGAAAAAAGGAAAGAAGGCATGCGACACAGTCTCGCCCTGAACAAGCTAGGAAACTGAACGCGGAGAAAACACTCGAGACGACGTGCTCGAGGCCCATGGGGGCGAGAAGTGAGGCGTGAACTGCTCCTAGCGAGGAAGACTGGCGGAAGGAAACGGGCAGCCAGCAAGAAACGGGGCCCGGTAAGGAAAAGGAAAGCGAGGAGAGCGAGGAGAGAGCGACGAGACGTAGAGGAGCAGCTGCACAGAAGCACCAGGAAGATGATAATAACGAGGACGAAAAGAAGAACAAGCAGGCAGAGCATGAGGAGGAGAGGAGGAGAGGAGGAGAGGAGGAGGAGGAGGAGGAGGAGGAGGAGGAGGAGGAGGAGGAGGAGGAGGAGGACAAGGAGGAGAAGAGGAGAAGAGGAGGAAGTTGGGGATGAGGAAGAGGAGGACACGAGGAGGACACGAGGAGGCGAATCGGCAGCATCATCACCAGGGTCACGCAGGACCGCGCGGGGACGACGCAGGCACCAGTGCTCCCAGTGGCGGGAAGAGGCGAGGGGCAGGTCCTTCACGCGAATGCCCTTCCTCTGGAGGACGAGCTCCGTGGAGAACGCGGAGAATGCGGGGCCTCGCTCCTTGCGCTTCTCCTCGGCCGGCGTCGGCTCCCACACCCACACTGCCCACCACAGCCCTTGACCTCCACCGCCCCAGACAAACAAGCACGCACCGCACACGACAGCACCAGAACCACCGATCAGCATCGCACCGCCGTCGCCCTTGTCGACGACTCTCCGGCTAACGTCACACCCACTTGAGCAGGGACCGACCGTCCCGGCATTCCTATAGTCCTACCACGACATGTTCTCAGAACCCGAAAATGTTGGAATAACAAAAACAATGTTCTTAGAACATAAGCCCGATGTGATAAAACAATACAGTCCCAGCCAGAAATGTTCTAAGAACATTTCGTGGCAATCACAAAAGGTTCTTAGAACATTGTTTGGTAGGGCTATAGGAAAGCTGGGGCGCTTCGCCACCGCTTGACTCACACCATCATCATGACCACCATGAAAGCTTACAAGCCCCGGCAGGCGTCGGCCGCCCGTCCGAGCCCGGCACACCCCTCCCCCCGCGGGCAGGGCGGCCAGGAGCCCCAGTGCTTCCCTGCCCCCCTGCCTGGGAGCCCCAGCCCCCCTCCCTCCTTTCCGCTGGGGACAACGCCCACGGGAGGC